GGGAAGGAAGAGGAGTAGGAAGGGGAGGGGAGGGGCGGGAGGAAGGGGAGGAAGGCAAGAAGTTGAGGAGGTGGAGCATCAGTGGGACTGGCTGCGAAGCCGCACCTGGCTGGTCCCGGTCGGCTCTGCTGGTCATTTTTGAGCTGTGTGACCTGGGCCCTGCCTCAACCTCGTTTTTGTTTTGTTGAGACAGAGTCTAGCTTGCAGTTCAGGCTGTGGTCCCTTGAGGTGGCAGCGACCCCTGCCCGTGGCCCCAGCTCCCTCTGAGTCGCACTCACCGCCCCTCTCCTGCTCCTCTGGCCTCGCCCCGTAGTGAGTGTTCGCCTGGCGATGCGCCCCAGAGCCCCACGGAGCCCCCCCCTGCGAGGGAGAAGGAGCCGGCCCCCGGGCGCAGGGTGTCGGCCGCCGCCCGGCCCCGAGGCCCCCGCGCTCAGAACCGCAAAGCCATCGTGGACAAGTTTGGCGGGTAGGAGCAGAGGGCTCTGGGCTGGGACGGGAGCGGACGTGGCTCGGCAAGGTGGCCACAGCCACCAGGGCCCGTGCACACGGCGTGCGTCCCGCAGGGCGGCCTCAGGCCCCACGGCGCTGTTCCGCAACGCGAAGGCAGCGGGGGCGGCCGTCGGAGGCGTCCGGAGCATGCTGCTGGCGTGGTGCCAGGCCATGACCAGGAAGTACGAGGTGGGCACAGGCCGGCGGGCGCGGGCCGCGGCTCGGGGTGGTGCGGGGCTCACGGCCGCCCTCGCCCGCAGCACGTGGACATCCAGAACTTCTCGGCCAGCTGGAGCAGCGGTATGGCCTTCTGCGCGCTCATCCACAAGTTCTTCCCCGACGCCTTCGACTACGCCGCTCTGGACCCTGCCCAGCGCCGGCACAACTTCACCCTGGCCTTCTCCACTGCAGAGTGAGCCCCAGGGAGCCCCCAGACCCGGGCTGGACCTCCAGGGGCGGGCGGGGAGCCGGGCCACACAGGGCCACAGTCACTGGCCAGCACTGAGGCACTGTCTCCCGCAGCAGCAGCTTAAGCCCACAAAAGTCCCTGCTCACATGAGGTCACCTTTTAAGTGGACCAACAGCCAAGCACGGTGGCGTACACCTGTAATTCCAGCACTTGCGAGGCTGAGACAGGAGGATCGCTGTGAATTTGAGGCCAGCCTGGGCTACAGAATGAGTTCAAGGCCAGCCTGAGCTACGTAGTGAGACCTTGTCTCAAAGACAAAACGATATATAAATAAATAAATAAATAAATAAATAAATAAATAAATAAATAGAAAAGCAGATCCTGGACACCCACAGAGCTGGGGATATACCGCAGTGGCACAAACACCTGCCTGGCAAGTGCAAGGTCCTGAGTTCAATTCCTGGTACAAAAGAAGGAAAAAGAACACACAGAAAGATGAAACACAGAATGGCCATAAAGTTGAGGTGACTATTCACATTTTGAACAGTGTCACAGTAAAAGCTTGAATCCCATTCAGCCTCCTCCCTCGAAACACTCATCACTCGTGCCTCTCTGCAGCAGCTCGGGGGCCTCTCCTAGTGTCTTTATGGGGTGTGACAGGCCGAGGAGAGCTGCTGCCGGGCGGCGCCCAGCAGAAAGGCAGCGCATGCGGACAGCTGCGGCCTCACCCACCTTAGTCACCAGACTTGGCAGCGTGTGGCTTCTGGCCCCTCTCTAAGGTCACAATGACCATGAAAGGGAAGCCTTTAGGATCAACCGAGGCCATCGAGGCAGCTAGGATAGACACTCAGGAAAGAGGACTCCAGAGCTGCTGCAGACGGTGGCCAGGACAGTGGGGCAAGTGGGGCGAGCCAGAGGGGAGCATTTCAAGGGGGATTCACGCCAATGTCTTTTGCTTCCGGAACTATTTTTAAAGACATACCTCTATCACACCATGATCACAGGCACCGCAGATGATCCCAGCAGGGCTGGTGGCCTGCCGGTTCTTGGGGGGCTACAGCAGTCTGGGGTCCACCCCCACCTGCAACCTCTGCCAGCTGTATGCCCCCCCCCCCGAGCTCCTTCAGGCCCCTGAGCCTGCAGATTCTGGTCTCCACACCAGGCAGGACTCTGGCTCTATCTCACAGCTGCTGAAGTGCCCTGAGACAGTCACCCTGTGGCCCCAGGGCCTGACCCATCAATAGCACCTGCGCTGTGACTGAGTCACCAGTCACTAAGGGCCACCGGGATCGCTGCACAGTGGCAAATAGAATAGCAGCTGATAGGGTCAGAGGACTCGATTCTGAGCCTGGGGGCCATGGCCACAGCCACAGGAAGGCAGGAGGGGTGATGGGGGCGCAGCTGGGCACTGGGACCTCCCTTCAGGCCAGAGCGGGCCTATCAGTTCTTTGAAACCCTCCAGGCCCTGCGCTCCCCTGCCCCCCGGGCCGGCAAGGCCTGAATGCCAGCCCTGCCCTGCAGCCCAGGACAGCTTTCCCCACGGGGGCTGCGCTTTTGCACCTATGCCCATGGCTGGCTTTGGAAATGGTGCTCTTTTGTACTGGAAATCGAACTCAGAATCTCGGGTTTGCCAGGCAGGCGCTGTGCCACTGAGCTATACGCCTAGCCCCTCGGCTGGCTTTGGCATCAGGCAGGTCCTGGCCCAATCAGGTCCTTGAGGCTGATCTCAGGCAAGCCACCGTGCTCGAATCTCAGCTTCTCCACCAGCAGCAGGTCAGGGGTGAAGGGCGGCCAGGGGCTGTGGCTAAGACCCCTCAGATCGCTGTCCACCGGAGGGCCTTCCTCCCCCAGCTCTGCCAATGCCTTGCTGGGCTTGAGTCCTTTCCCATTCTCTTTTGGTTGGACACACACACACACACACACACACACACGCGTGCGATCTCGGGGCCCACTTCCGGTCCTGCCTACCCACTTCAGGTTCCACCCTTCACCTGTGCCCCCACCCCATCCCACCCCACCCACAGGAAACTGGCTGACTGTGCCCAGCTGCTGGATGTGGACGATATGGTGCGGCTGGCTGTGCCCGACTCCAAGTGTGTGTACACCTACATCCAAGAGCTGTACCGCAGCCTCGTGCAGAAAGGGCTGGTGAAAACCAAGAAATGAAGGCTGTCAGGAGGGCGCCCTGGGCCTCACTTCTGCTCCCTGGAGACAGCAGAGCTGAGGGCCAGGCAGGGCCAGGTGGCCCAGCCTTGACTGCATTACAAGGACTTTTGTAAAACAGTCTTAGTTCTTGGCTTTCTCCCTCCCCACCACGCCCACTGCACAAACAGTGGCCAAAAATAAACAAGCAGGCATGGCTGGGGCCTGAAGTCCCCCAAAGGCTCCTGGGCCCACATTTTGATTCCCAGTGCAGCCATAAGAAAGTGCCTGGGTCAGGGGACGCTAACTCTGGGACAGCAGGGATGAACTGGGTGTCAATGGGGTCACTGGGAAGACACAGAGCAGTGGGGCCTCACCAAGGGTGGGGGTCCCAGGATGTGACCTCGAGAACTCCCTCCTCACTGCCTCCTCTCTGGCTCTCTGCTGCCTCCTGTGCATCCTGCTGTTTGTGAGGCAAGTGGCCCTGCTCCTCCAGACCCTCCCACTGCGCTGATCTGCTGAGGCGGTGGAGGTGGAGGACCCTGGGCTGAATCCTCAGAGCAGGAGCCTGGGTGAACTTCCCCTCCCCGGTCTTAGGTCACAGTGGGGGAGAGCTGGCCTATAGCCAGGCTCCTGTCGCCTGCCACCTGCTGCGCCCTCCCCAGTTCTCCTAGTTCTTCCTCATTTCCTCTGCCTGGGGCTCTGAGGAGGGATGGAGTGGAGAGTCTCCAGGAGTCTCACTGTTACCGTTTGGAAACAAAGGCTCACGTGTGCACAAGCATGGCCGGCTGGATCTAGGGTGCACGGCCCTGGGACTGAGGGGTGTGGTACACAGCTAGCCCACTGGAAGGACTTAGCAGTTGTGCCTGTGGCTGGCTGGGTTTACCGAGGACAGAGCCCCAGTGTGCAAGGTTTGTAGCTTATAAGGAATACAAGGGAAAGGGAGGCTGGCTGCTGCTGCTGCCTCCTGCCTGCGCTGCCATGGACCATTTCTCCTCCTCCATGACACCCTGCCTTGGAGCCAGCCCACCATGGACTGAATCCCTACAAACCATGCGCCAAGTAAACCTCTCCTTTAACTCCTTTAACTTTACCCAAACAAGGCTTAAGAACCCCTGTCCTATCTCTGAGACATTAGTGTTTCTCAGTGGCTTCCAGCAGTAGCACCCACGGAGCTCTTCCTTCCTTCTTATGTTTGCAGTTAGCCCTCCAGCCAGCCCCCTGCTCCCTGTGCATTGGGACCAGCCCTGAGCTGGCTATAATGTCCTGCTGATGACTCAGCTCAGCCAGGTACTGGCCACTGAACCCAGGGCCATCATATTGAGCTGTATCTCCAGCCTTTTTTTTTTTTTTTTTTTTTTTTTTTGCGGAACTGGGGATTGAACTCAGACCCTTGCACTTGCCAGGCAAGTGCTTATTCCACTGAGTCATCTCCCCAGCCCCCCAGCCTTTTATCTTGAAACAGGGTCTTGCTAAGTTGCCCAGGCTAGGCTTGAACTTGGAATCTTCCTGCCTCAGCCTCCCAGACTAAGATTACAGGTGTACACCACCATGGCTGACCTATTCTCTTTCATGGCCATTTATTCTTCCTATCCATGGGAAAAGGTCCAGTTAAATCCCAGCCCTTCCAGAGGATTTAGCTGAACTCTGGAATTCTGTTCTTTGGACCTCCACACTGGTGTGGGGCGCTGGCCCCTCAGAACTGGCAGCCTCTCAGGGCAACAAGTGGTCGGATTCTGGAATGCAGGTTACATTCCTTATCTTGAGATTTATCCGTGAAAAATAAGAGGTCTAGTGCTTAAATCTACACATGCTGGAAGCTTTTGGAGATTTTGGTCTGCTCCCAGCTGGACACCCCACCCCCATGGGCCTGGGCTTAAACTCTGGACCGAGTGGAGATCAGGGCAGGGGAGGCGTCGAGTGGCGGGGTACCCCAGGCTGAGCGCACATGCCACATATGTGGGCTGGGCCCCTGTCCTCCACCTGCATGCAGACTCCACATGGCAGGGAGGGAAGAGCCCCAACGGTTCTCCAGAGGCATGGCCCTGGCCCACGAGGCTTGTGGCCCAGGTGGCGCAGGGTGAGTAAGATCAGGAGGGCCGGTCCTCGCCGAACTGCAGTGTGAACTCCTCAGCCCGCTTCCAGAACAGATCCGGGCTCTGGGCCAGCAGGCCGGCCAGGTCTGCTCTCACGGGCTCCTCCAGGTTCGGCTTGTTCACCAGAAGGCTGAGGGACTCCAAGACTGGGGAGAGAGTGGGCAGGGCGTCAGGGTGAGGGCTGCCCATTCCCAGCTCCCTCTAGACCCTGCACACAATCTTCACATTTCAAAAACTATGTGCTAGCGGGGCGTGGCAATGCACACCTGAAATCGCAGCACTCGGGAGGCTGAGGCAGGAGGACCCACACGCTTGAGGCCAGCCTGGGCTACATAGTGGATTCAAGGACAGCTTGAACTACAAGCGAGACCCTGTCTCAAACACCAAAAATTTAAAAAAAAAAAAAAAAAAGAATTGAGTTCCTCATCTGTATTATTAGCACCCTGTGACTTGTGAGCGCTGGGACACTGCCCACCACACGCTGCCCCTTGTCCCCCTCGTTGTGCCTCAGTGTCTTCTCAGTGTCACCCTGGGGCCAGCTGGGCGTGGGTGCACTACCCTGGGCCTGCCACATCCCGCTGCCAGTAGGATGGCGGAAGTGCAGGACAGAGTGACGACGCTTGTCACTGTGCCCCTGTCCTTTTGGGCACCGAGCCCTGGAAGGCAGAGGCTTGCGCAAGGCCGGGCCTTTCTCCACCAAGCGCTCTGTGTTGGCTGGGGCGGGAAGGAGGCTGGATCCTGGGGCTCCAAGCTGACTTCCAGGTGGGGTCCAGCTCCCTCCCTGATCCTTGCTTTAGTCGCTCCGCTTCCGGTGCGCCATCCCTCCAGCAGCTCTTCTCCTGCAGACCCGCCGCAGGCCGCCCTGCCTAGGAGCCAGTGTACCACGGACTGAGCCCTCTGTGCTGTAAGCCCAACAAGCCTCTCCTTGAACTTGTGATATTGGCTACTGTGTCCCAGCCACGGGAAACTAAGACCCACCCCCTCCACAGCCAAGCGCTGGCTGTTTCCCACAGAGCATGGCTGAGCCCCTCTGGACCACAAATCTACCTCCCCCTGCCGTAGCCTCCAGGAGCTGGGATGCAGGGTGCGCTGCCACACCTGCTGGGACTCTTCCACCCAAGCTCCACTAAGCCCCAGCGCCCCCCCGGGTGCACCGGCCCTCACCTTGGCTAGGCTTGGTGTGAGGTTTCCAGTGCTCCCTGCTGAGGAGCGGCAGGCAGGTCCGGCCCTGCTCATCCACGTTGGGGTGGTAGATCTTGGTGATGAAGGTCACCGTGGGGGGCCGGAAGGGGTAGTCCTTGGGGAAGTCCAGGCGCAGGCGGAAGGCCCTGAGGTTATAAGGAGCCTGCGTCTGTGGGACAGGAGCCACAGGGGAAACGTAAGGCTCCCAGGCCCGCCTGGAACACAGTCACCCAGCCGAGCCCAGGACTGGACCCCAGGACCCTCTCTGAGGGTGCAGACGGTGGCAGCACTTGGGTTCTCTGTCAGTCCCTCAGCCCCACCCCCGAGCCTCTGGCCCAGGCTCCCTACCTGGGCCTCCTCAGGTCTGTATGCCCAAACGCTCCATCTTGCCCCAGTGAGGGCTCTTGGCTGCACCCTCCCCCCACCCCTCCACTTGCTCATTCATCTGCAAAGAGCTGGTCTCCAAGGCAACTGCACCCTCCAGGAGACCTTCAAGCATCTTTTCCCCCAGATCGTGGCCCTGAGCCAGTCCTGCTCAGGGACCGGGCAGTGGCCCACTGCTGACCTGAACTATGTAGTGTTTCTTAGGTCAGTGAGGACAGAAGGTGGCGGCTAGGCCACCTGGGCAGGAGGAACCCAACCTCAAGGTGACAGCACTCACTCCCTTGCTATTACAAAGAGCTTTGGCCAACAGAGCCCAAATGTCTTCACTTTTGTCCAAAGGTACACGGATGACTTTCCCTAGGAAAGTGAATTTAGTAATTACTAGAGGACAGATTTGAGATCCTATGCTCTTGGGACTGCTACTTTTTGTTTGTTTAATCTTTTATTTTTTTATGTATTTGGTACAGGGTCTCACTACATAGTTCAGTCATATGATCCTCCTGTGTCAGCCTGCCCAGCACTGGGATTACAGGCATGCACCACCACACCCGATTTCAATAGCCACAGGGAGCACCTGTGGTACCTGGGATTAAACCTGGGTCCTTGCACTTACCAGGCAGGTTCCTAGACTGCTGAGCTATCTTCCCTCTGCTATTTTCAAACAGATTTTTTTTTTTTTACTGTATGTATGTATGTATGTATGTATAGTCTTTTTTAAAATGTATTTTTGCACAGGGTCTACAGGGTCTCACTACGTAGATCAGACTCTTAGTGATCTTCCTGTGTTCAGCCTCCCAAGCGCTGGGATTACAGGTGTGCACCACCATGCCCATTCTCCATCGCTGTCTCAGCATGCCAAAGGGGCGGGGCCAGTACTGCACGCCAGGGATCAAACACCCATTGCTGCACTCTGCCTAAGCAGGCGCTTTAGTCCACTCTCTGGCCAGCCCTTGTACAGTCTTTGAGACAGGGCCTCACTATGCAGTTCAGGCTGGCCTAGAGCTCACTTTGTAGCTCAGGCTGGTCTCCAACTTGTGATGATACTCCTGCCTCAGCCTTCCAAGTGCTGGGATTATAGGTGTGCACCACCACACCAGCTTCAAAGGGAGATTTTAACAAAATGATAAATACTGAACAAAAAAGTGAGAATAAAGCTATCACATATAATGATAATTTCTCTGAAATTAGATCTTTAAAAGAAAATAAAATAGGGCCGGCCAGATACCTCAGCAGATTAAAGCACCTGCTTAGGCAGACATAGGGACCGGGATTCAATCCCCTGTGCGCAGTGCCGGCCCCGCCCCTGGGGCGTGTTGAGACAGTGATGGCGACTAGGCATGGTGGAATGCGCTGTAATCCCAGCACTTGGGGAGCTGAAAACAGGAGAATCACTACAAGCGTAATCTGTGCAGCGAGACCCTGTGCTAACTGTATATATTAGCCGGGCACGGTGATGCCTGCCTATTAATGCCTGTAACCCCCAAACTTGGGAAGCTGAGGCAGGAGGATCACTGTAAGCTCAAGGCTGGCCTGAACTACAAAAGCAGACCCTATCTCATCAAGGGAAAATAGAAATTATATATGAGTCCACCAGCCAGGCTAACCTAGAAGTTTATCACTGCTTCTTAAGCATGGTCTAAGAGATGTTTCTTTTCCTTTTCATCCTTTCACATTTGTGTATCCATTTTTGAGACAGGGTCTCGCTATGTATCCCAGGCTGCCTTGGAAGTTATGGCAGTCCACTTGCCTCAACCTCCCAAGTGCTTACAGGCCTGGCCTCTTTTTCTTTGTTCTTTCTTTCCTTTTTTTTCCCCCCCTTGGTGAGGCAGGTTCTCACTGTGCTGCTTTAGCTTGCCTCTGACTCCTGTGCTCAAGAAATCCTCCTGCCTCAGTCTCTCCAGAACCCAGGTCTGCGAGAGCAGTCAGCATCCCCGCTTTTCCTCTAGGACCTGGCTGTCTCTGACCCACTGTCAGGGCTGGGTGGCTGCCGGTGTGTCTCCACCATCTTTGGTGTTATCGTCTGTCTGCCCAGACCTCAGGAGCTACGGTCTGCAGAGCCCCTGCCCAAGACAGCCTCTGTGAAAGGTGAGTCCCCATCCTCCCTGCCCATGCCACGGGCCTGAGAGCTCCCACCCAAAGCCATGCGCCAGGGACACTCACCGGCAGGAGGAGCACATGCCACACCAGGACATTGGCCCTTTCTGTGCACAGGTCCCGCAGGTAAGAGGGTGCCTCTCGTTTCAGATCTTCCAGGTCCTGTGGGGGGACAGGGCCTCACTATGGAGCCCAGGCTGCCCTCCATCTCTCGGGGATCTTCCTGCTTCAGGCTCCCAAGTGCTGGGACTATAGGCGTACACCACCATGCCCAGCTTCTCTCAGAAACACTCAGGCCTTTTTCCTGAGGCCAAGGTGCTTAGCCCTGCCCTCTTCCTAGAAAGTCCTGGCTCCCAAACCCCCACCCCCTGCAAGCATCCACTGTGCCACACAGGGCCACTTGGGCCCAGCTGCAGGCAGCCAGCACACCACCTGCCCTCCCAATTCCACCCACCAGGGCCTGGAAAGGAGAGATCTGCCCCACAGTCCTGCACCTTCCCAGACCTGCGGCCCCTGCCCAGACAGCACTGAATTCCCCCTGCAGCCAGGTGTGGAGTCCTCTGCTGAGCCCTGACTTGAGATCAGTGGAGGGAACAGAGGTGACTGCATGGATAACGGGTGCATGCACAGCAGAGCAGAGGAAGGTGACACAACGCACACTGGAAGCTGGGCCAGGTGGGATGAATAGGAGTCCTCCGTGACAGAAGAGGACAGGCACCCTGGTGTCCCCTATAGGAGAATTCCATGGTCAAGTACTTTAGGGAACCGACTTGAGGTTCCTGCGCTGGAGCCACTGAATGCGGGCTGAACCGTCTCATACCATGAGCCTGGTGAACCGCCCTCCCTTAGCTGTGAGTAAGGCTTAGTGATTCCTACAGAACCCCACCCATGACCTGGGTATACAGCCCAGCAGCAAAGCGGCTGCTTGGCAGAGGCATGGTCCTGGTCATTGATTTTGACTCCTGGTTAAAAAAAAAAAAAAAAGCCCACCTTTTTAGGGACCCGCCCTGAATCTAAGACCTCAGTGTTTGGAGGGAGAGAGGGGGTAACAAGTGCTGGGCAGGTGCGAGTCTTGGGGACAGCATGGATGCAAAGCAGGGCTCCTCTTAGGGGTGGCCAGCCCTCCAAGTACATTTCTCAGTGTCACATCTGGGGACAGTATACTAGTTTAGCAGTATGGACCGGAGACACCAATCTATCCTACAAAGAGCTGCCTGCCCCAGCCAGGGGGAGGTGCACGGGGGAGGCTGAGGCAGGAGGTTCTGCTGCAGACCAAGGCCAGCCTGGGCTACATGAAACATAAAACACCCAAATTCTGTCTGGCCCCAGAGGTGAGATGCAGCTCAGTGCTGTGCATCGGTCTACCAGGAGCCCTGCTTCCTGCCCCAGCAGTGGGGGAAGAAAAGCTGGCCCCAAATTTTGAGAAACCACCCAAGTTCCCCAAAGCCAGGCCATGTCTGCAGAGGGGACTCCACCCCTGTGGGGCTTGGGGTCCCTGTCTCCTAAATCACCCTCCACCCCAGGAAACAGCATCTTGGCTGCCAACCTCCTCCTGAGTGACTGAGGCAGGAACCAAGCCCAGGGCTGGACAGAGACCGCAGGGAAATCACCTGATTCAGAGGAACAGAAACTGAAAGAGCTGGAGGGGGCAGCCTCTCTCCGAGGCTCTGAGGGGTGGGTCCCGCTCCGGGCATCTCAGAACCCCATTCGCCCCACCTTCCCAAAGTTTCCAGTTGGGTCCGAGGTAGTGCTGATAGCCCAATGGAACCGGGACGTTTTCTTTTCCAGCCGGGGGTGGCTTGGGGAGACAAGGTCTCACCCAGTGGTTCAGGCTGGCCTCAGACTCCAACGATCCTCCTGCCTCGGCCTCCCCAGTGCTGGGGTCACAGGCCTGCAGGCTGGTGCCGGGGTTTTGTTTATCTTTGTCCCCCCTCCTCCCGGCCCAGGGGACGATTCTGCCAATGAACCGGACTGAGGCCACAGGTTTCCACAGAAGTGAAACCGAAAGCGGTTGGCAGGGGGTGGGGACCTGGCTGGGGTCTACAGCCCTGGCTTCAGTCTGGTGCAGGCCTGGCCTCCTCGGGGAGGGGACCAGGCGCCCTCACCTTCGCCGCTCGCTTGCTCGCAGACATCGCGGACCTGTGCCAGTTTCGCAGCCCGTCCCACTCCGCCCCGTATGATCACGAGTGGGCGGGGCGGGCGTTCTGGGGCTTGGGAAGTGGGTGCCCAGCGGGTGCCTTTGGGAGGGGGCGGAGCCCTGAGTCGGCCCGGGAGCCACCCTCTTGTTTGTTTCTATTTGAGACAGGGTCTGCCTCTGTAGCCGAGGCTGGCCTCAAACTCATGGCAATTCTGTCTCAGTCTCCCGAGTGCTGGGATTACAGGTGTGCACCACCACACCGAAGATAGATACATACATACATAGATTTTTTGGGGGGTGGGTGGGTGATTTTCGAGACAGGGTCTCTGTAGCTCAGGCTGGCCTTGAATGCCTTGGCAACCCTCCTGCTTGCAACCTTCCTGCTTGCAAGCGCTGGGATTATTTTACCACCTCCATTACAAACTGCAGACCCTGGAGGTGCTGAAGAAAGAGACCTATTCCCAGTCCTGCGCCCCAGCAGCATTTAGGGGAGAGCCCTTTTCAGGGATGAAGGTACCTGGAGCCACTGCCACCTTTCACAAGGAAGGTGGCATCTTTGGAACCCAGAATCTGCGAACAAGCTGGGCTCTACACTGCAGCCTCGCTTCCTGTTCTGAAGCCTGCGCCCCAGAAAGGGATTCACAGCCCCGCGGGACAGGATGGGACCAAAGGAGCCTCAGAGTGGGCGTGGTGGTGCTCACCAGTGATCCCAACATGCAGGAGGCTGAGACAGGATGATCACCCTGAGTTTGAGGTCAGGCTGGGCTACTAGGAAGACCCTGTCTCAGCCACGCCCCCAAATAAAAACCATCCACCTGGCCAGGTTTCTGATCTCTTTCCACTCTTTCAGAAGATCTTTTCCTGTTAGTGGGTGTGTAATACGGGCGCTTGAACGGTGCTGTTGTTTAAAGGGTTGGTTTTCAGCTGAGAGTAAGCATCTGTGCCTTAGGTTATTTGGACTCTGGGTCCTCATCCAGGAGACGCCGGGCACGATCTCAGCTTGTGTGTCCCAATTATTTTCCTTAACATCCCAGTCTCGAGGTGCCACTGTCTTATGAGAGGTTAAAAAGCAAAATAAAAGACACATAATAGGAAGCCGGGAAGCCAGTCTTCTGCAGCAGGGAAGGGGACAGAGCTGGAGGCGGGTGAGAAGGTCTGGAGATAGGCCTGGCAGTGCCCAGGCCACATGAAGACGGGGACATCGTGCACAGGAGACATGACCCAACAAAAATAAAAAGTAAACAAATGAGAGTAACCGGGACTCAGCATCATCAGAAAAGGGACTCGCGTTCACGGGTGTGTGGAGCACAGACCTGAAGCTGCAGTTGTTTCTCTGGAGTTTGGGGTCTCCCCACCGTCTCAGGCACTCCTTCCCATCACCGCGGCCTCCTATAAAGCAGCCTCAGGGCTGCAGGGCATTGAATGACAGCTCAGATACGAGGACTGCAGGATCTGCGTCCCTGACGCATCATGAGGATTGAGCATCCTGTTGCCCAGCCAACGTCCACAGGGCTGGGGCTGCACCAGCAGTCCTGGCAGGAGTTGCGCAGCCTGGGGAGGGAGCCTGAGCCTCCCCTGAGGGGTTGGGTCCCACCCTGTGCCACAGCGGACTGCCCCACACCTCTCAGTGCCCCCAGCACAGTGGGTGAGCAGGGCAGCGTGGTGACCCTAGGCTGCCCCCCCCACACACACACACCCCGCTGACTGGTTCTTTCATCTCACTTCTTAGGACTGGAGTGAGCAAAACCCCAGTCATTCCAGCTGCGCCCCTTTTCAGTGTCTTCCCGAGAGAGTTAAAGACACCGTGTACCAGCGAAGTGCACACCTGTGTTTATAGCAGCTGCAACTTGGAAGCAACCTGTATGTCCACCAACACATAAATGGGTAAAGAAGGTGCAGTACATGAGGAGTACTACGCTGCCACAAAGAAGGGCATGTTTGAGTCATTTGTAGAAAACTGGATGTACCTTGAAACCATAATGGTAAGTAAGGTAAATCAGAAACACAAGCTGGTAGGCATTTAGGTTGTTGCCAAGACCTAGCTAGGGCAGACTGTGCAGCTACAAACACGGGGTGCACATATATCGCTGTGGTGTGCTGTTTTCAATTTCTTTATATTTGAGACAGGGTCTTACTGTGCAGCTCAGGTTGGCCTTGGACTCACCATGTAGCCCAGGCTGGCTTCAAATTTATGACAATCCTCCTGTCTCAGCTTCCTGAGGGCTGAAGTTACAGGTGTGCACCATCACACCTGGCTAGAAAAAAATCTTTAAGATAAAAATAAAGGTCGCAGGTTGGGGAGATAGCTCAGTGTCATAAGTGCCTGCCTACCAAGTACAAGGTCCTGAGTTTGATCCCAGTACCAAAAAAGAAGAAGGGACTGGGAAGATGGCTCAGTAGAATAAGAGAATAAGCACTTTCCTGGCAAGTGCAAGGGCCTAGTTCAATCCCTGCCCCCCCCCCAAAAAAAAAACAAGTGAGATAGCTCAATGGACTAAGCGTCTGCTTAGGCAAGTGCAGGAACCAGGGTTCAATCCCTGGCACCACATACTGCTCTGGCCCCACCTCTAGGTGCGCTGAGCTGACCAGAGACCGGGTGTGGTGGTGCACCCCGTACATCCCAGCTCTGGGGAGGCTGAAACAGGAGGATCACTAGGAGTCTGAGCTGTGTAGTGAGACCCTGTACTAAGCACAAAAAAAGAAAAAAGAAAAAGCCTGGTAGAAGGGCAGTCAAGGACAAGTGCAGGTGGGAGAGCGGCTCCCTCCACCACCCACAGACTGGGCCTCAGCACCAGAAGCTGCAGACCTCTGTGTCTTGCCGGGATCTCCTTGGACTCTGCTTTCCAGAGGGCAGGCCCTGGCCCCAGGGAATGGCACATCTGGTTCTCCTGCTGCAGGGTTAGCTAGCAGCAAGCAAGCGTGCCTGGGAGGTTTGGCAAGTCCAGCCTTCGGCCCTGCGGCTGGGCCCCTTTGCACTGAGCACCGTGCTTCTAAGTGAGCCTTATCCAGAAAACAGCCTGGCAGTCACCAGCACAGAGCCCGGCCTATGCCGGGGTGCAAGTCTCCGACACAGCAGAGGGCCATCCCCGAATCCTGCACAGTGTTTCTGCTTCTGCATGACCCGTGGGGCAGAGGTTGAGTATTCATTGCTTGGTTCCTCTCCTGCTGTAATCCCTGAATACAAATCAACTTAAAGCGCAAGGTAAAAGAGGGTGAGAGGAAACAGGAAAGGGCACTTTGGGAGAGAGGAAGGGGTCAGGATGACAGCACAGAACAAGATGGGGGGGAAGTACGGAGGTGTGGGGCTGCGGCCTGTGGGTGCCAGCGCTGCCCTACCCCATGGATGTGTCGCTGTCGATCTCAGATATAGACTGACTCAAGTGCCACAGGGAGGCAGATCGGCAAAGCCGCTTTGGAACCTAGTGGAACAGTGGAAGCTGCCGGCCTGGGCGGATGCCGGGTGCACGCACAGCCCTCCCAGCCTAGAGAACAGTTCAGCTCGGAACTGGCAGCCGAAGGGCCCATCAACAGTGGACCAAGATGCACCTGTGGAAAATCTTGGGGTCTGGTAGCAGGGATGGGACTCAGGACCTTGCACTTGCCAGGCGAGTGATTGTGCCACTGAGCTACATCCCTGGCCCTGGGGATTATGTTTTGGGGGTCGGGTCTCACCATGCAGCCCAGGCTGACCTTGAACTCATAGCAGTCCTCCTGCCTTGGCCTCCCGAGTGCCAGGATAACAGGCACGCACCACCACGCCCGGCTAGCATTGC